TCGTGCTTCCTTGCTTCCTTCTGCTGACCAGCTTTTTGAAGATGCTGATTTCATTTTCCAGCAGGATTTGGCACCTGCCCAAAAGCACCAACCTTGAAGCATCATGCCCACTCAAACTGGCACGTGCCCCCTCCGATTTCTGAGCCAAGAATTTGAAATGCAATTTCCAAGAAAAATGAGTATCTTTGATAATTAAGTTGCACGATTGTTTTAGGTAAAGAAAGGTGTTTGTTTAAAACACATTGGTAGAAATGCAGACAGTTGCACCTTGCGCAAATCATTTGCTTTAAACTGAAAATTACATTTTTAAAATGTCAACGTTGATAAAAATCATCACTAGCTGTCATATAATCACCAATAATATTATACATTAATAAAAAAATCTATAAAATATAACTTTATTAATGATATACTAGCATTCTAAAGTTTAAGGTCAGAAAAAAGTACTATTTCATTAAGCAAGAATGAATTTAATTGATCAAAAGTGACTGTAAAGACATTTATAATGTTACAACCAGATACCATTTTTGATATTTTTTTTACTAGTGGGGGCAGGACACTATAGTTTATTTATGTAAGTGAGGATAGCAAAATAAAGTAAACTGTGACATATTATACCCAAAAATTCTTCATACAGGGGACTACCAGTAAAACTGATAAAAATGTGGGACCAAAAATGATTCAGACACTTTCACCTGTCCATGTTTTGCTTAAGTATTTTTTCTTTAATTGCTAATGCATTTTGTCTCTCATAGTTGAGGTATACCTATGATGAAAATTACAGGCCTCTCTCATCTTTTTAAGTGGGAGAACTTGCACAATTGGTGGCTGACTAAATACTTTTTTTCCCCACTGTATATATATATATAAGTTCAGCTTTATAACCTAGTGTCTATTAATAAAAAACTGTCTAGATGTTCACTGAAGCTGCAACAAAATCCATCCAAACTGAACTAAAGCTGTCGCCAACAAATCCACCATAACTAGAATGAGAGGATCAAACACTGTTATGTCGTGAGATATTTTGCACACCCTGGCAGACGACCTTCCCCTGAGCTGAGATATTGATTACTGTACACTATACCACAGCTCTCCCAGAGGATGTGATGTCTCATTGCATATTCCAAGCGCTGCCGTGCCAGTTCAAATGAGCTGGACATGAACTCCAGGGGATTACTGACCAATTATCACCCAGTACAGCTCTATTGTAGCAGTGGTAATCATGGGCTTCACACACTCAGGGGTCAGGAGCAGTGCAGTAGCCTACAGTACTGAAGCAAACCTAGTACGTGCCGTGCCAAAATCCGCTAACCAGTAATGCTAGTAATAAAGGTTATAAGACTGAAATGCTTCACCTGTATTATGAAGTACACAAAGGCCAAAATTACACTAGTGTCATCAAATGATATTGCAAAAAATGTTGACTTCCAAACCACCCCCTCTTTCAATGGTCATTAAACAGAGCCGCCCCAAACTCGAACCATTGGTCGAGCCAGAATATGACATGTTGGCCCACATGAAATAAACAGAGCTACCCTGAAAGTGCCATAGAGATTTTGGGAAGTCAGTCTATGAATTGCTTACTCATAATGTTTCTGTACTGTTGTTAAAAAACTGTTATTAAAATAAATAAAAAACAGTTATGAACACATCTTACAGGCCTAAACTTTCTGGCACACACCATATGCTCAGTGTTATTTTAGTATTACTGCGAGATGCTATTATAATTTTCATTGACAGTTTGAATTATTTTTGACTTTTCAAATTTTCCAGTTTCATTTTCTTTTTAGTAATTTTTTTTTGTAATTTTGTTTTTTTTTTGCCATTTATATTAGAGTTTTTTAATATGTCTATATTTTTTTGTATTTTTTTATTTTAGTTTTATCGATTTTAGTACATCAAGTTCAACTAAATAAAAATAAATGTTTTAAAAAACTAACCGAAATGAATGACATTTTTTTCAGTTTATTTTATTTAAAGAAACAAAATTGAACAAAAATGTTTGTCATGGTTTCAGCTTTAGTTTTACTTAACTATAATAACCCTGTATACGTTTTTAACATTACTCCAAAATTAACTACATTTTTTATTTTATTTCAGTTTATTTTATTTAAAGAAACAAAATTGAACAAAAATGTTTGTCATGGTTTCAGCTTTAGTTTTACTTAACTATAATAACCCTGTATACGTTTTTAACATTACTCCAAAATTAACTACATTTTTTATTTTATTTCAGTTTATTTTATTTAAAGAAACAAAATTGAACAAAAATGTTTGTCATGGTTTCAGCTTTAGTTTTACTTAACTATAATAACCCTGTATACGTTTTTAACATTACTCCAAAATTAACTACATTTTTTATTTTATTTCAGTTTATTTTATTTAAAGAAACAAAATTGAACAAAAATGTTTTTTTTAATATAGTTTTAGTTTTACTTAACTATAATAACCCTACATATGTTTTTAACATTACACCAACAGACTGATATCAATTACTTGCTAGATGATTTGTCTTGATAATTAAATAAAGAAAAAAAACTAAACAATGCATCTAACAATGTGGGGTAAAAATGCAGCTAATGTAATATTTTCTCTTTTTTTTGTAGTGTAAAACATTCTAAAAACATTTGCACAATAAAATTAGCATGCCATTTCAGTGATTGTTATTTGCTTATTTGAGTAAAAATGCTAATTTTTGTATCTGTCAGAATACCTGGATGTACTGTAGTAATTAAGCTAGTCGAAATGTGAGGTACTTTTTGTGACCCCAGTGTGAAATTCTTAGTGAAATTCCCTGTCTCAAAGGGCTGCAGTGGCCGTGTGTGTGTACAGCGTGTCTTTGTGCCGACCTCAGGGCATTTCTCTTATGCCCCAGCTTAGCCATGGATTTACCCCCTACAATTCACTATGGCGACATTCTCTGACCCTGACACCACCCTCTGCCTCCAATGACTGCTGACACACTACACACGCAGTCTGACTGCCCTCAAAATAACCTTTTGACCCAAGATGAAGTTTCATAGTCTTGTAAAATTAATTCTATTGAGAAAGAGAGTACTAACTTTCAGATGCGTATACTTGGATAAGTTTTATATGGATATGTAATGTGACAGCAGTTTCAAAAGTAAAAGAAAATACACAACTCACCTCTCTGAGTTCCTGCACTAGGGCATTGAGATGTTCGGCCTCCGCTTGGGCATTGGAGGCCACAGAGCTGCTCACGTTGAGCTGGGTTTGAAGGTCCACCAGACGTCCCATGTAATAGGCCTCTTTGGAGGCAGATTCCTGCAGCAGCGTCTCTTCGTTTGTCTCACCATCCTCAGCGACTTTACGCTGGTTGGTGTACGCCTGACCAAACGCCTGTAAATGAACGACAGAGAGAAAATGGGGTGTTCAGTTTAAGAAAATTATGGCTGTGGTCGCAACAGCACACTACCACACCACCAAACAGCTGATGGTAGCCACTGACTTCCAAACAGGGGTGATCCTAGGATTTTCATTTGAGTTTTTTCAAAGTTGAACTTGCATTAATTTTACATGGCTTTCTAAACATGCCGCTATTTTGTGCGAGACATGAGTGCAACGGTGATAGATGTCCCTCTAGAAAATGTGCGAAATATGCGTTCTTTGTGAACGGCTTGGTTTCAGTTTTGACATAAACAAGATCTTCTCCGCAATGATGTTCTCTTTTCCCGCAATATTTGTAATTAACAACGCAGCAGCGCCGCATCTAGTGGCTTCAACTGGATAGGCTAACAAAAACATTAAAATGCAATGACACTTACATCGTCATCGCATCTCGTGCGCCACTGATAAGGCTGCCCTCCTTAACGCACACCTAAAATTAGAATGCAACGTTTTTGCATTCAAACGTGGATTTTTATTTTAAATTCGACGAATATTCAAAATTCATTTTTTTTGACAGCCCTAATATACAGTATGTGATGTGTTTGTTAATGTAACAAAGTGCTGCAGTTCAAGGTAACTGAGCTAATATTTCAGCTGCTCACTCGGATCAATAGAAACACTGTTCCGATTCCCCTGACATAGATTTTCACGCCATGCAGATCCAGCGTTTCATGACTTAAGCATCCTGTCTTGATTGGAAGGTGACAGTAGATGGTAAACAGGAAGGAGGAATGAGCCAGTGTTAACAGTCTGACCTGTTCTGAAAAGTTATCACAAGGCTAATCAGTATGCTTTAGTGACACTACATGTACACTATTGCACATGTGCATTATGGTGCATTTTAAGCAATAAGTCAGTAAAGCAATAATGACTGATCATAATCTGCTGGTGCAGGTTTTATGGTGTCTCTGAGATGCTCACAATACCATTATGAGAGAAACATAACTGGGATGAGTACCAGAAGAGACCTCCCATCTGAAGAGAAAATCAATTAAAGACGCACTAAAAAGTGGAAGAGATGTGTATATGGATGTGGGGAAAAAAAATCAATTGGAGCACTGGTAAATGGCACATTACAGCAAATCTGACTGAAGAGTGAAGGTGGTTAAAAAGTTGCTGATGTGGATACAGAAAATGTCAAATACTGGAATGGTTTTCCAAGCACTGAATCAATTCCAGTCATAACAACTGTAACTTAAGAACTTAAGACATTTTTCAAGAAAGATTTCAAGAAATACAATACTTCAAAACAAAAGGTTGTTTGAGTAAATGCAAAAAATGTATTCATATGTAAAGATATTTACACATATTTCTAAATAAAACAAAACAATATATTTTATAAAAATAAAATAAAGTGCATGACAGTAATTCAGTTTTTATTTGTGATAAAAATGTCAGTATGCAAAAAAATCGTAATGGTCCAAAAATCCCTTTATGCATAAATGAATGCACAATAATGTTATTTATCATATTAACAGTAACTGTTTAGTTTTATAAGCAGTTATTACCCATGTATTAGAGTGTAAACAACATCCGATTTCTTATTTTTTTAGTGCTTATAGTGGATGAGAGTGTATTGTCTGTTGTGACCACAGGACATTCATCATGCTTGCCCACTTCATGAACATGAACAATGAGGATATTGCTACTACATGAATTTTTATTAATTTCAGGAACTTGATTTACGATGCACTTTGCAGTATATTTGATCCAATTCTCAAGTTCTACTTAATAATCCGGTTTCAGTGGTTAACAGGCCACTGCCACTAGATTATTAATGAATAACGACCAACAGTTCAGTATATTTCTTTCTTAGCAAAGCTACTATACGGCTTCTGAAGACTAATCAATATAAGTCCTTTCAATCATTTTTGGATGTACTATCCCTTGCACTCACATTTTTTTCTTTCCTTTTGATTGCTGAACTCTGGGGAGAAGGCACAAAAGTGAATGGATACGCCGCTTGATTAATTCAGTGACAGAAGTGTGAATAAGCTCTCATTGTGATTTAAAATGAGGGCCTGTCAATGTCCCAGAATCCCTGCTGAAGGTGCTCTGCCTCCCAGCTGCGCTCTGAGAGAGAACAAGAGAGAGAGATGTATGGACTCAAGTATCGGACGTTGCTGTGACCACAGAGACTGGATCTTTGCTGTATAATGTAGGAGGCAGATGGTTTGTGGAGGAAGTGTGTCCATAATACCGACTTTCTCCATCTGGCTCCTGTTATTTAGAACAGGGAGTCACTCTACGATGCCCACTCAATAACCAGTCTCTAAACTAGTCTCTGAATTGTAATTTTGTGAGGTTGATGGCATATTCAAAATTTTGGAAGATTTTGAGCACAGTCTCTCTTGGATGAAGCTCAGCAAAAAAATGCCAGAGCCATATTTCTTTCAATATAAAAAAAGCATTTATACAAAATAATGTTTTTTAAATTTATTTTATTATATATTTTTTGTGTTTTATACATTTTTTTAGTGTTTTATATTTATATTTCACAAAAAATATAATAAAATTAAAAAACATTATTTTGTATAAATGCTTATACATATATATGTGTGATGAAATTTTTTATAAAATAGTAAAACAAATGAAAAAGTAAACAGAAATAAACTATTAAACAAAATACAGTGTCTTATTTTTGTTTAATTATATTTTATATCATACTTAAAACTATATTATAATTATATTTATATTACAATTATGCAATATGTTTATATTATTATTATTATATGTAACACACACACACACACACACACACACATATACCTTGTTTTGTGAATGTGAAATAAAATGTATGATATTAAATATTGAAATTGATGAAAAAAATTAAATAAAATAGTAGACAAAAATAAAATATTCTTACACATCTTCCCATCTCCTGCATATTGCAAGCATCACTGCAACTGTGCTTGCGAACAGATAGTATGTTTTACATTAGCTGCAACAACAGGAAGTATCTGAAAGCACAAGTGTCAACAGCAACAGCTGCGATAACATTAAACACCATACTGTGCAAACATTTATGTGAATTCGCCTCTTTCACATGAACATACGTGTGTATAGGAAACAGAAAGAAAAAAGAGAAAGAGAGCGCTCAGAGCAGACATCAGTTAGCCCTGTCAGTGATTTGTTCCAGACAGTCGTGGTGGCAGCGTCTGCGTGTCTGTGACAGCAGGGCCGGAGTCTGTTCTGTACGCTGCCAGCACAAGCCAGAAAATCTTTGTTATTTCCATAACTGGATGGGCTGCAGTCAAACCTTGCATCATCTGTATCATTCATTCAAAGGTATTGGTGGTTAATATGCATCTTGCATCAGCGATATGCTATGGTATCAGTTCAGTTCGCAAGATATTGCAAAATTACTTTATATATAACAGTAAAACTTATTGATCCAAGTATGCTGACAATATTTAACTGCATACAAGAAACCGTGGAAAGAGAGAGAATAATTGGCACAACAAATTTCTGCACACTCCTAACAAAGCTCCTCACGACTCCACCAAAGATTATGTAAGCAAAAATGAATCCTAACATAAATCACACACTGATTTGAACCCTGACATCAGCACATATGGCCAAAACAATGTTTTATGCAAAGTTATAAGCAAAAGCGAGCTCATCACATTCATGTTGACTGATGCATTTAGTAGTTATACTGTACATACAATATAATGCAGGTAAGTTGTAGAGTACGTGGGTGTTAACTGACTTTTGCTGCATGAAATCTACCAAGAAAATGACACAGAACTTTCAGTTTCTGTCTGTTTGAACTCATATTTAACATGCACTTTATACTCAAAAATGGAATCTACAATTGTAATGGTATTCTTTAGACTATAACCATCTAACTAAATTTCCCCCAGGCAAATGTGTGGTGAAAAAAAATGTCAAACTGTCTGAAATATCAGTGATGAAACTATAAATTCAACATTATTCCTACCATCCTACACAGAATCCATAAAACTCTGTCAAGATTTGCCACTAATGAGATGAGGTGTCCAAAAGCTAGTAAGCTGTCTCATAGTCTGCTGTCTATGTAGTGCACTGGAAACATCAACAGCATCCTAACCAGAATGGAACAGCACAATATAGCAGCAACCCAACACTAACAAACTTAATCTTTCTTAACTAATTTTAACAGATGGCTCCGAAGTTGACATGTTGCTAGACTAATGCGTCAGAAGCTGCATCCAAAATCACTTTATTTTGGAGTGTGTACTGTATTCAGTGAAGAAATTCTGGACCATTGATGAAACACATACAGCATAGGGAATAAAGAAGTGTGACGACAACATACTGTTTAAAATAAATGTCATTTATAAATATTTAAACTAAACTAAAAATAATAATAAAAAATATATTATTAATAATATTAATAATTCATAATTAGTTAATAATGAAACATCAACCATTAAAACACCAAAATAGGCTGTGGCTGAAATAGAGCTGGACTACTAAAACCATATACACAAATAATATACATTAAAGCATTCAAATGAAATACATTTCAATTATGCAGAACTAATATATATTGATTTTTTTGACAGATTATCCATTTTTCATGTCCTCAACACACAAATTTATGCAATATACAGAGCCAGAGGAATTGAGAAAACAATTGCTCTGCTGTAGCATTCGTTTCACCTTCATCTGTATCTTTTAATTTAACACATTTGTCTGAATTACCTCAAGGCAAAGTCCTAGAAGAAAAGACACAAGAGGGCTTGTTCTTCCTGTCAGTGTGAAGAAATATAGATGGAACTAGGGCTGGACGATATGGCCAAAATTTATATCACGATATATTTCTTAATTTCGGTCGATACGATATAATTCCGATATCGATATGAACACTATTAAAAAAGCCTCATAAAAACGCCCAAGAACTGCCACAACAGATGTCTGTACCTACAAACTTATGAAAAATGTATTTGCCAACTCTATGAAACCTA